CAGCAGTTCTTAGGAAAGTGGATTAGAAAGTAAACACTGGATTGCCTTTATGTTCCCCAGTGGAAAAGGACAAGCGAGCTCAGTGCTCCTGTCCTCAATAGTGAGGGCATGTCACAGTCTGGGAATGTGGTTTAGAAGAAACATGCACTTTGAAAAGATTCAAGTTAACCTGCCCCAGACAGACCAATCCAGGGAAGTGTGATGTTGGAGCCATTTATTTAGTTTTAGGATGGGGTGGGGGTGGGGGTATGTTTGACCAATTTGAAATAAAGGAACTGGTTTCATATATAATTAAAAGAAATATTTCAGATCCTTATAAATTAAAAAATGAATGAACAATTGGCCCAAAAGCACCAACTTCAAAAATATTAGTTTTGTTTTTATAAACAGCAAATTACTATTTGCTAGAATAAATATAAATATGACTGTCAAAATTATTCTAGCCTAATGAGGAAAAACTGTGTTTTAGATTTGAGGACTCTGATTAGATATTAAATCGTATCATGAAAAAGTCCTCAGAACTTCACCTGAGCAATATCAAAAGTTGCTGCTCTAATCGTTGGAATTATGTTCTCCTCAGAGAAAAGAATTTTTGAATTACTTGTTCATATTAAAGCCCACAAGAAGCACCTGGAGAGCCTTTAAAATGTCTTAGGCCCCATGAACCTTTCCCTATGCCCAGGTATTGCCATGGTCTCCAGAGATCTGAATTGCCTGCCTGCCTGAATAGTATGGCGCAAAGGTTGGGGGCAGAGAGGACCGGGAGCAGAAACTTCTATGCCAAGTGGCTGAAGTGAAGATGGACGAGCCCCAGCTCTCCCTTCAGTCAAGTGCCTCACAGTTCATTGAGGTCACAAATGCAATGTGAATATTTATGAAAAAGTACCCTGACCCCCGCCAAACAAGCAAACAAACAAAATAAAATCTTAATGTATAGTATTATCATGTCAATGCACTGAGAACTACTTCGAGTTGTTTTTTTGTGATTTATTTTTCCAGAACTATATATATTTAAGTAAAAAGTCATCATTGTACTCAACATTAATATTGACTGGTAAAATTCCTAATCTGTCTCCTTTTCTTTTTTTTTTCTATTCCTGTTTTCAGTTGAAAGAGGAAAACTCTGATGTATATGAAGAAAACCTTCATTACCCACTTCTGCTTATTTTAACCAAAAATGGATAGAAGATTAAGCTTCTCAAAAGACCAAGAAAACATCAAATGCACAGGAACTATTTTTACAAAATCAGAAATCTGTAATGGGTATAATATGCAGCAAGCCATTGGATCCCTGAGATTTCTGAGCCCCAGGACTGGGGCCCCCACCCCATTTGCCACATTCTATGTTTGGGTTATGGGTTCCACCTGTCCCCACCCACATTATTCCCCAGCCATCCTCGCCCAGCTCCCTCACCTCTCTTTTTACAGTCTGCTTGTTGCTCTTCCTGCACCAAACCTTTGTCTGTCTTTGTTTGGGTTATGGGTTCCACCTGTCCCCACCCACATTATTCCCCAGCCATCCTCGCCCAGCTCTCTCACCTCTCTTTTTACAGTCTGCTTGTTGCTCTTCCTGCACCAAACCTTTGTCTGTCTTTGAATATGGATAAGCAGCCTGTCTGAGGTTTGACTCATGAGCAACCTGGATAATTTTTCCCTCTAACTGAGACAGAATTTCCTTTGGCGATTCCCACCCACCTTTTTTTTTTTTAATCTGGTCTTTGTTCTTTTTTTGGTGGTGGCAGTTTTTAATCTGTAAACACAGCAAATATCACGATTCCTGGTTTTAAAAAAAATAATAAAGTCCATCTTTCTGATCTCCCTCCAATTAATTGTATTAAATTTGCCATCTCTTTCTGTGTCTTTCTTTTTTCCTTTTAAACAGGATGTTTTTTTCCCCTATAGATGTATAAGAAATGACTACATCAGCCCGAAGCCTCATAAACTGACCGTTTGTCCTCTGGACACAATAGCATGGCCAGCCCTCTGCTCCTCCTCTCCAATTATGTGTGATTAGTCTCAGTGTGCTGTGTCAAGGAGGGGGAGTGTGCTGAGTGCTTATTATCTGTTTAGGTACAAGAAGAGCACATTTAGGCTCTGACTATGAATGAAAAGTGAGCCTTTATCAAGGCTTAAATCTAACTGCTGCTGTTCTCTAAGCCTCTTTCAAAATGCGTGCTTTCTAGAGAAATTTTGAATAAATGGTTGATAAACTAGATTGCAACCAGGGGGAGTTTTCAAAAACTCAATCACACAATTATCTTATTTAAAATAAGTATATACTGTCGTATGCTATGATTCCAAGGGTACAGTAAACATTTAATAGGTGCTACCTATGATGGAGAACTTTTCTGCAGGGAACCCAAGGCATATTTTTGCCTAGTGCATCCATGAGGTGCTCTAATGGCTTTTGTGGAAATTCAGACATTCATCTGTAAGGGATCATCTGTGCCCAGTAATGTCATTGGGAAAAATATGGCAGCTTTCAAATTTACATTTCTTTTGAACTTTATGATTATTTCTATGCATCAGCATTGGTTTGTATAATTGCAGTTGAAATGGCTCATTCCATAATTGTCTATGTAATTATCCATGCATTTGTTTTAAAAGGAAGCCTGTCTGCTTTGGAAATCATAAATGTTATTATATTCCTCTTCATTGTGTGCCCATATCTTCTGATAAAACTCATGGTTTTTCTTTGTCATACTAAGTAGGTTTGGTTAGATGTAAGAATGTTTCTAATATCACCCATGGTCAGTTCTAATGCGGTGATATCAACAGCCACATACAAGTTGGTTATAAGAAATATATTTTATTTTATAGCAAGACATATGCTGTGAATTGGGATAAAAGTGTAAGAAAAGACTACCTAAGAGCTTGATGCTATTTTGTATAAATTGTGTATTTTGTTGGCTTTTTGACTGAGCATGAAAATGTAACTTCCATTAGGGAAGGGTAATTTAGGTGCTCAGTATTCAGCAGAAAACTTGTCGGGGCCATAAAAGCTTTTCTGGCTGGTTCCTCGGGTGTTTTCAGAGAAGAGCTGCCCGCCCCTTGCTGATTTTCCCTTTGGCTTCAGTAGGGCTGAATTTACCACTGCATACCTGTTGAATCAATTTGGGGGATCCAGCAGTTAACCGAGTGAATGGAAGGATTAGTGGCCCTCTGGAGCCCTATTTCAACAGCCAGGTGTCTGTCCTAAACTAGTTAACTGCTTTTGACAGTTGAAGAACCTGGTTTTAATACCGTAGGCAGGAGGTGGTGGTGGTTCCTTCCTTCTCCCCACTGCTAAAGTGGGACATATCTTCTCCTAAGGGTTAGGTGTTTTTGTTTTTGTTTTTAAATAGAAACGCACTGTCCCTTTCCCTCAACTCAGCTTCCATGGATTTTGTCTTTGTGCTTAGTCAGCATTTGATTTGTTTCCAATCTATGCCAGACACTGCAGTAGCATTGTCTGGCAAGACCCTTTTATTGGACTGGGGGTGTGGGGGAGGGCAGGATGTTCACATGGGGGAGAGAGCCAAAATCTGTGTAGATACATGCACATACACACACTCACACAGAAGAAGAGGCTGTTTAGACCAGAGATCTGGGCTCTAGTTCTCAGATTCCAGGTATACCCCCACACCAGATCAAAATCTCCTGAGTGCAGATTGTACGAAACATCATAATTATGCTGAGTGTATCCCATAGAGAAAAGATGGATTTGAAAGTCAGACTGATTTTAGGCAGAGCAAATATGTTTTCCCGAGTGGACTATTTCCAAATTAGGAAGGAGCCCGTTGGTGTTTAACAAACCATTAAGCCTGAAATGCCACTTTTAATTCTCAGATTTCTTTTTACCCAGAGAGCTTACTGCCCAGGCNTACCTATGATGGAGAACTTTTCTGCAGGGAACCCAAGGCATATTTTTGCCTAGTGCATCCATGAGGTGCTCTAATGGCTTTTGTGGAAATTCAGACATTCATCTGTAAGGAATCATCTGTGCCCAGTAATGTCATTAGTAGGTTAGCTATATAGGCTCATATCTTTAGTAGAGGCAAAGCGTGTATTCAGTGGGATACAATTAAAGTGATAGGTGGGAGGCTGGGGGGTGCATCCTTTTGCATGTTAAACAAACTTAGCTGTCATAAAAACAGTGACTCTCAAATGTCTTCTCTGCTCACTTCTATCATCAAACAAATTTTTCACCATCAGTTTGCATGTCCTTGTATTCACCACTTTTTCTGCTCCATTAGAGCACCTAGATGGATCTCAGAAGGCATAGGTCAAGTCGCAGTTAGATCATACATTTCTTTCGCACAAAAACTTGAATTGCAATGCCAAGTGATGGGCTAACATCACAATAACAGCAATTTATTCCTCTTTGGATAAAACAGCAGTCTATTCTCAGTGCTAGATAAAGACCAGGGCAATGCAAACCAGCCATTTAGCTGAGTAGTTCAGCTACTGGCAGCTCTCCTTTGGCGACTGTCTAGGTTGCATACTGGCTTCATATTTTCTTGTTTAAAAATTAGAATTTGGAATGTTTTAAAAGGCAATGGAAGTAGGCTCAGTTTTGCTGGTGGAAATACAGCAAAAATTATTTCTTCTGTAGAACCTGCAACTAACTCTACCAGACAAAGAAAACCTGTCTCCGTAGTAGCACCTAAGATGGTCTCTTTTTTTTTTTAATATAGAACAGCAGGACCATGAGAATATTTCCTTTTTTCTCTCATGAAAATACATGAATTGGCAAGAATTCAATTTGCATTTGTGTGTTGTAGGTATAGAAATCCAGTGTTCATTTCCCTGGGAGAAATTGTATTTTAAAAAGTAAACTACTAACGTATTTTTAAAAAATGTTTGAAAACTGTGTGTCAGAATTGAGCTATTTCTGTCAAGAGATACTTTATGCAGAAATATCGTGTGATTAAAACCTAGAGAATCTCCTGTAAAATGTTACGGGTTTCATAGATCTACTCTTTAAGGGATCCTTACCTAGAAATATCTCCAGTCCAGGC